GGGGGGGGGGGGGGGGAGGGGTGGTTATTCAAAAATGAAGAAGTAAAAGTTAGCCCACAATATTTGTTTACTGAATTCGAAAATTGCGCTCTTTCTCAAAATACACGTGTACATGTACTTTCTATGAAACTCCAAAATATAATAATAAGTCTCAAAAAAAGTCTTTTAGAATCGACAATAATTGAAAAAATTCGAAAAATTTTAATAATAAGAAATTTAAGCCTGCTTTGAATATAAGATTTTGAATTTCCTCTTTTTTACCTCATATTCACAATCAGACCCTAAATATCCCTATATATCAAGTTTCGTAAAGAAATTTGGTCTCGACCATAGAAAACACAAATCATCAGACCAGATACTGATATCGACTTCGGGGTTACTAGTGAATTTTTTTGTTATAAGTATTTTCTCGGTACACGAACTCGACGTTATCAACGTACAACTTTTTCAGCTGTCAAACAAAGGTCCCGTAGAACCCTTTTCGAAAAGGATCTTTTTACAAAATTTCTTACAATGCTGTAAGGACCCTTGGTAGAAAAAAACGAAATCCTAAACCCCGATAAGGCTGCTGACTCTTCCACTTTGAGTAGTTTTGTGCGTAAAGGCAGCACGAAAAAGGAGCTGCGACGGTTTTGCAATACTGATGAGAAAGACGAGTTGATCGATAGAAAGAATGTGAAGATGTAAGAGAGAAAGAGGGAGATAGGAATAAGGATAAGGATCGGGCAGGCAATTCAATTGCATGAGCCTAAACCTGCGGTCTCTAAGGCAACTGTACCTCCACAGTGCGCTATACCCTGATTGCGCGTACAGTCGATTCAAAGTATTTCTAGAATATACCAGGAAATAGATGGAAGGAAAACATAAAGAGGAAAGTACGAGGAAAAGGGAGAAAGAGCGTTAAAACAAAAAAAAAATTACGCAACATATATTTTTTTACAAAAAATTCCTTTCCTTCCCAAGCATTCGGACTTTATTGTCCATTTCAAGTTGTATCGGATAACGGGCAGATTATATGGACCCCTTTTCTTTATTTTATTGCCATGGACAACTACCCCCAAAATAATGCAGCCTGTGGATTTGTAGAAAAAAAAAAACAAGATTTCTATGACAAAAATTGTTCCAACGATAAAATCGAAATTTTGCATAGGAGATGGTCAAGAGACGTTTTTCAAAATGATCATTCTTGTACACCAAGTCCTTTTTCACGTATCCAATTTTTTCATACATTATCTTCTCTTCTTTTCGTTCCTTCGATTCCCATTGAATTTTATCATACACTATATCGTTATACATTCTACCAAAAAAATACTCCACGTTCATGGGGTATAACGACCACGTTATACCCCATAGCGTAATAACGCCTCCATACGGTTCACCCAGTCCCATATAAGTGTCAAGGATACTCGGAGGGAACGTGGTATAGAAACCCCCAGTTGTCGAGACATCAAGTCGCCACGGATAGACAGATAGCTGTGTTTTATTTATACCCTAGAACTTTCGTTTATCGAGAACATACATCCAGTAATACATATATTAACAGAGAGATTTATAACATATATTAACAGAGATGCGTAACCAAAAATAATGGCAAAGGATGAAAAAGGCCGAAAAAAATACGGCGTTTAGAAAAAATCATCGCTTTACCTAGAAAAAAAAAATTTCCATACGTAATCTCGTAATACCCGTGTCACGTTTCACAGTTAAATACATTATAATCCATTTTATCCCCTGAGCCACGTACTGCAACTGCAGTACACGGTGAAGTAAAATAAAAAGCCTGTATTACTGAGACCACCCTGGAAAAAAAAAAATGATAAAGTTTCAAAAGATGTCTTACGTTTCGCTGGTTACCAGGCAATTTATGAAAGTAGAAAATTCGTATTATTTATGCTCGGTATGGTATAATTTTTTTGTTTGCCTAGTTAGTTTCACTTGCCCGAGAGTAACTGTTTATCAGCCTGTCTGTTCAATCGCCCTGTACATGTATATATATATATATATATATATACAGCTGCTGGACTTGGATAGCAACTCGCAAATTGGATCCAGCCCTTAACATGTTAAGGCTACACCCCATCGACCTTAATAGTTTTTTTTTTATTTTCATTGGGTACATTGCTACCACTAGAAGTAAAAGGAAACACGAGAAAGGTGTTTCGAATCAAATAATAAAATCCCTAGGCCATGTAAGTTCTGAGGTGGAGAGAAAAAAAGGATGAAGAAATATATATATATATATAGACTCTCTCACAACTTACTCAATGCGGACAAACGTTAACTAAGCGAATTACTAATCATGTCGTATTCGGAACAGCTATGACGATTCTCTCGTACACGTGACCGGTGACATTATTCAGGAGTACCAACCCCCCTGTCTTAAGTATGCTAGGAGAATGTAAATTATGAGAGATTCAAGTGTGCTAGGATCGGCAAAAGTAAAAAAATAATTTTTCGATTATAAAATACAAAAAAAAATTTACACCCTTTATATTCGTTTAAAGTGAGCCGGTGTACAGGCTGGTTAAAAATTTTCTTCTAAATTGCATATATAACGTTGATCGTCTGTCGTTATGCATCTTTACGAAAACTTATCGAATATTCCATATCGTCCGTCCCTTACACCTATTTGGTGTTCGATTAAGCGTAATAACATCGATGCTCGTTAATATTACAATTTTCATGCAGTCTGGAGCTTTCCTATACATAATAATGAGAAATGAATTTCATGAGCGAATACGCACGTTTTTCGAAAATTGGAAGAAAAGACAAATTTTAGAAATTATTTTATCAGCTATTCGTAGAGTGTACCGGGTGTCAATATTGAATTGATGTATTCACGTTAAATTAATCACTGTCACGTCGATAGGCTTTTTACAACGGGATAAAGGAAAGTTGAGATCCTTTTTTTTAAACCCCGAATAAATTGACCCTCCCTCAAGCACTAGCCTCGGCGGAATGTGGCAATAGCCGTAAAACTCGATGTCCAGTAAAAGTATAATAATAATGAGGATGATTCTGGTAAATGATCGGTACAACAATAACGTTAATTAAACGGATAAAAATTAAAATATTAATTATAATAGTCTAGTCCAAGCACTCCGATTATATTGACCGTGAAATTTATTCCCTTATAGTTACGTGCGGACGTAACTTAACCTCTCAAATTGATTAAATCCTTGTGAACCTTAAATATTCAACGCGTAAATTCTGAAAGTCCGTTGCATACATGACGAATAAATTTATGTAAATAATATCTATATGTATATGTATAATGATTTTAACGCGGAGATTTTGACAAGGAGACAAATTTATTCGTGCAAATCGTTGGTTTAGAAGTAATGTTCTTTCGAAGTTTTCGATTTTGAATCGGCGTGATACGTTATTTTGAATTTGAATCAGATGTGTAGTACGAAACTATATATAATAATTTACGAAGAATTTTTGCGTCATAAAATTTTACTTACCGAGTACAACGTATATAGAGAGCTCTAGGAGGGGCCATCTTCCTATGCCGTTTAAAGCATATAAGTCCCCTAGGCAAGATCTTGTATCTTGTATTGCCCCCTAGGCAAGATGTACGAAGAATGACAAAATTTTCGAAATTTTTTTTTCTTACCGAAAAATCCAAGATGTGTTCGATAGTTAAAAATTTTTGTACAAAAAAAATTTTGTACAAAAACAATTTTTTACACAGAAATGCGAGGATCCCGAGGTGTCCGATAGGAAGGTCTATTATACGTTTGCAAGAACATTACCACCGACGAGCAAGGTCAGCAAAAGTGTGGTGGCCTTGCTGAAATCATTTGGATGGACAAAGGTCGTCGTAGTCTGCGTGACAAGAAGAGCCTGGAGCGAGCAGCTAAAAGAGTTCTTAACGGTACGTGAACGGATGGATAATAAATAAAAATATACGTATACTCTAATTGCGTTACAGTCTGAATAAATGATGGCTCGATTAAATGATAAATTAGTCGTTATGAGTTTCGTAAATTTTCGTATATCCTTCACGTAACTCCCGACATCTAGCGGCGCCTCGGCAAAGCTAATCGAATAAAGAATCACGCAGCCAATCACGTCTCTATGACAATTTATAGTATATGGCTATAACTTTGATTTGAAATAATTCCGGTAATTCAATTATCCACGAGTCTTACTTGAATACTTCATAAATTAGAGCCGAGTCGTAAAGCTTGAGGCACGAATTATTTCACTTGACCTTTTTTTTCGCAGTAACCAAATTATACGTTAATATATTTTTCTTTCTTCAGAAACACAATATACTGGTCACCGATACTTACACGGTGAACGACTATATACCTATATTCGAAAGTAAACTCGATGACATCGTAACAGCGACTTACTTTCGCACTAGAGGTTAGTACGAGAAAAATACCTATGCTTTTACCTGCTACAGCGGTTACGTAGAGAATTGATAAGGGATCAAAAGAAAAACGGAGAAAAAAAATGAAAAACTTTCAATCAGGCACCAGATACACTTGTTTGTGTCAACCAACAGTTGTTCGTGTATTTTTCTTGATACTTCTACATATATATATATATATATATATATATATATATATATATATAGAGAGAGAGAGAGAGAGAGAGAGAGAGAGAGAGAGAGAGAGAGAGAGAGAGAGTGAGAGAAAGAGAGAAATACAGGAAAAGAACATGTAGATACGTATCATTTTTCCAATTAAAGTAAAGCGTACTGTGATTTACCAAGAAAATTCATTCTGACAGAATATCCGCTCAATCGGGTCACGGTGACAAAAATGGCTGCGAACGAGAAAAATAGAATGGCGAACGAGTAAAAAAAATTTCTATAAATATAAAATAAAGATCAAAAAGAGACCCTTCGACTCGTCGAATAATTCTTTAGAATTTATCAGCTTTTCGCTTTCCCTCTTACTTCATCTTCTTCACCCCCCCCACCCCCACCATCTCACGTAATACCTCAATCTCACCTACCAATAGAGTCACTCGTATTGTAATCTTTCCTGCAATTGAATCGATGGCAAAAGATCTACTCGTCAACTTTCTATTGACACCCACAAACCGAGCTGTTAAAAGAAATTTCATTTTATCCATCGATTCGCGTAGCTCCTCAATACGGATTTCTTATGCAAAGTATCCCGAATCCCATTGCGGTTTCTTCCTACAAAGAATTTTCCGTCACGGCAAGTAATTAATTACACGAAAAATCGTTCGGCATTATTTCCCAAGTGTGAGATAGGGTAAGACAAGTACCGACTCTAAAGAAAATATCATTGAAAAAATGTTCAAAAATTTATCATGGCCATAGAGGATTACATAGAAATCTTATAAATCATCGATAAATATATGAAAGATATCGTTACGTCAGATCGACAACGCTTATCGACCACGAGATATAAATCTGCAATAAAATTATAAAAATCCATTATCAAAAAAGTAAAACTATAATTTTTGTCTTTTAACAGTACATTTCTGTAGTTTAACGGAAAATTGGTCCATTTCGCGTTACCTAGAGGTGACTGTAGATCGGCTGTCAAACTGACAGTGACAGCTGACAGTTCTTTCGATTTCTCGTGCATGAACCTCAGCTGACTTCCGATGACAGTCTCTCGTATAAAAAAAAAAAAAAATATTACATAACGAATAATTATTTTCAGTTTACATCTTCGTGGGCGAACACATAGCTCTTGTGGATTTCGTTAAGTGCCTACAAAAACGTAAATTATTATACACGGGCGACTACGTAATTGTATCCGTGGACGACATAATCTACGATCCACGTAAACGCAAGGATATCACGCAGAGGAGTAAGTTTGTTTTTATTATTGTTGAATTTCGAAACTTTCAAACTTTTTACATTTATAATTACTCCGCGTATCGTGTTTAAATAAGCGTACGGAACTTGTGCACGCGGAATGTAAATTACACGAGGCTCCCGGTGCTTCGTGTGTTGGGATTATTGAAATCTCTTGGGATCCGTCGAAACGGATATATCGTCTGTGAAAATTGTTTTCGAGTGCTAAATATAGAGTTGAAAATTTACATAGACCGTACCTCTGGGCTCATACGTGTCCTTTGATACTTTATGACCGGTTTCTCGAGCTCGATGGCTTTGTAAAGTTCAAGACCAATGATTTTGAGTTTATCAGAGAATGGAGTTTGTTTTAATGGCGCTTGACATTATAGGGGATTACTTTTTATTTTAATTAAAACAATCAAGCCGAAGTTACAGTGCCGGTTAAAAATATTGACACGATACAGTGACTGGTTAGACGTATTTTACTTTGACAAAAATTTGCAATAAAAAAAATATCAGTACTGTATCTGTCCATAAATTTTTTTTAACATGCTTGAAAATTATGATCGAAGCCAAGCATGGCTTTGTAGGTGATTTATGCTTGAAAGTATATTTGTGCATTATTTTTCATTGATATGTATATTTGTTATATTATCTTTTTATTTGGCTTTTATTGCGGCTAAGCATGGAAGAAATTGTTTTTTTTTTTAATGGTAAAATTCAAAATATACAGATTTAATTCGTAGAGGGAATTTAATTGTATTAGTTGTATTATGTAGAGTTAATCAAGTTCATTAAGTAGGTACGAATTGGATTCGATTTGCTTTTAGAGAAGTAATCAGGACTCCGGATAGCTTTATGAATTATAAACATCCGCGTAATCAAAGTAAATTTCTGAAATGGGTTTATTTTTTTTTGCAAAAATAATACAAACTTCGTTATAGCTTACATCGATCCGTATCTGCCGGATCGAAATATGTCGCAAGACGTGAAATTTGGTTTTCAATCGGTCCTGAAGCTGACACCGACGCACGTGAAGAATCCAAATTTCGAGTGAGTATGAAAAATTTGAATTCTTGAGAAAAACAAATTAACCTTGAAAATTTCTAAAGCATACAATAATACTTTTTCCAAACTTCAGGCAGATTTGCGAGAGAATAAAAAAATATTCCGTGCAATCTCCATTTTGCGTTCCTTATCACAGCCACATTTTCAAAACCATTGCGGTGAGAGCTTTTTGTTCTTGAGCTTCTTAAAATTCAAATTTCGAAATATATTTATATCGTACGTATTACAGATGCCCATTCAAGCTGCTCATTTGTACGATGCCGTTATGATATATGCCCGAGCGGCAACTGAAATTTTGGAAAAAGGAGGAGATCCCCGAAACGGTTCGGCCATTTTGAGCAGAATACGAAATCGAAGTTATCATTCTGTGCAAGGTTACGATGTACGTCTTACTCATAGACCCCCCGGATAATAAAAATCGATCGAGAAAAATTTTCAAAAAAATATCAGCCCGATCCAAAAATTGATTTTCCTCGTTAGGTTTTCATCGACGAAAACGGCGATGCGGAAGGAAACTTCACAGTCGTATCCCTTCTGGACGACGAGGAAGCAAACGGGACAATAAAAATGTCATTGCAGCCAGTCGGTTATTTCCATTACAGTGAAAACGATTCGATCGACATACCAATATTTCGATATATAAATCCAAAAAAAGGTAATAAAAAACCGCGCCTCCCAAAAATCCCATACTAAATGATTTTCACCCGCCAGGTATCCAGTGGGTCGGAGAGGGACCCCCAAAAGCCGAGCCCGAATGTGGATTCGGTGGTGAGCTCTGTCGCGAGGACGTGATCGACGATCTAGACGATAAATTAACAAAGATCTATGATCTACGCGATTGGCGTCTCCACTTAGCACTGTCGGCAGCCACCGGATTGGTCGTGGTAGCTGGTGTATTTGCGTTCAAGTACGAAAAAGCCCTATAAGAGCAACTGACAATTTTGAATATAACAAACTTTCCCGCTCTTTTCACGAACTTCCCCTTTTCACCGCCAGGCATTACAGATACGAGCAAAAGCTCGCCTGCATTCTCTGGAAGATCGAATTGAAAGACCTAACAATGATACCGAGTGACGCGGGTGATTGTTGTCCAGAAAAAAGTGTGGTTAGTGTAAAAAAAAATTTTTCAACTCCCTCCACCCGTCAAAATCAATTTTTTAAATATCTACAAAATTCAGGTTTACTTGGGAGAGCCAGGCTGCACCCCGCGTGCTCATACCAGAGTAGCGCTACACCGTGAGAGCATGGTGGCCGTGAAGCCAATTTACAAAAAAACCGTAGACATCACGAGATCGATCCGAAAAGAGCTGAAACAAATTCGCGAGGTCCGCCATGAGAATTTAATTAATTTCGTGGGTGCAGTCGTAGAGCCCGGAGCGATATTTATAGTGACCGGATACTGCGCACGCGGTTCGTTACAAGACATATTGAAGAACGAAGATCTACGACTGGACACGATGTTCGTCTCGTCCCTGGTAGCCGATTTGCTGAGGGTGAGCATTTCTTTTTTTTTTTTTTTTATATCGAACGTCAAAAAAGAAAAGAGCCGTCGAGCTGGCAACTATAATTAAGTAGTAAAATCAGGAGCGCGACGGAAGTCTTGACGTAAAAAAGAGTTCTTCACGTTGAAAGGCGTTCTTCAGGGAATGATATATCTTCACGACAGCGATATCGTCTCTCATGGAAATCTTCGCAGCAGCAACTGCCTTGTCGACAGTCGCTGGGTACTTCAGATATCGGACTTTGGCCTCCACGAATTCAAAGCCGGCCAGGAGGAACCTGATCACGAGACCAAGGAACTTCACAGGAAGTTGTACAGAGCACCCGAGCTGCTGAGAAGCTCAACTAGTTTACCCAGGGGTTCGCAACGTGGCGATATATATAGGTCAGTATATATATATATATAAACTTGTCCAATAGTAATTACCGGGACATTGTCGATTATGCGGCATTCACAGTGGCAAATCGAAAGGTTATTTTTTAAAACCAAACTTCATTGTGAAACTCGCTTTATGGCTGTAGCAAACGGTCCGTATCAAAATATGATCACGACCGTCCTCGTAAACCAGAAATGTCTTTATAACCACCAGTCGTTATCTACGTATAATAATAAAGTCCTCGTGACTGCCATTTGTAATGATATATCAACCAGTATATATATATAAGATTATTGTATCAACCGAAGTTGGCTGCGTAGTAGTTATTAACTGATTGAGCCTAAGTTCACTCGGTTGAATAATATATGAACTGGCGTATAAGAGCATTGTATCGGGTGAAGTTGGCTACGTCGTAGCCGTCAACCGAACGGGGCTAACTTCACTCGGATAATTAATAATGGCACTGCGCACGGATTATGGACGATGATTATGTTGTTTACTAATCGAATTAATTAATTTGGTTATTGCTGTGTAAATTTTTAATTATCGTACTACTTTCTTATCGCTTAGCTTTGCTTTGGTACTTTATGAAATTATGACACGACGTAATCCTTGGGAAGACACGCTAATGAGTTCGCAAGAAATTATTCAAAGTATCGTACAAGGACAGAAACTTCGACCGAGCTTAAGCAGCCTGAAGGGAGTCTCGGATTATGTTCTCAAATGTATCGAGTCTTGTTGGCACGAGGAACCTGACGCGAGACCCGACATGAAACTCGTTTCTGTGATATTGAAACCAATGCAGGCTGGACTGTGAGTGATGTCGATTGGACAAACCATACGTAAATTTCATACCTAATTATAAGTCACACTGTGTATAATATTGCATTGCAGGAGGGCAAATATATTCGACAATATGCTGGCTATAATGGAAAAGTACGCATGTAATTTAGAGGGCATAGTACAGCAGAGAACGAATGAATTGGTGGAGGAGAAGAAGAAAACCGACGCGCTCCTGCACAGGATGTTACCGAAGTAAGATATCGAGGCGGGAAATTTGAAATTTAAAAACAAAAAAATTTTTTTTTATCTTCAGGACCGTAGCCGATGCTTTAAAAAGAGGCGATCCTGTCGAGGCTGAAAGTTTTGATTGCGTCACAATATATTTCAGTGACATCGTCGGATTTACGCAGCTCTCGGCCGACAGTACACCCCTGCAGGTATTTTGATATAATTAGAATCGTGTAAAAAAAAGTGTTGTATCTACGTTGTTCGTGTTCATTAGAAAGTTATATCCAATTATACATAGAAGATGAGAAAGGGAATTGGGAAGAAACAAATTTTGTGTAAAATATCCGTTTTATATGAAAATTTGCCGACGCCGTATAAAACGGTGGGGGTTTCGCAATGAACACGTGTGAAAAAACGAAGCGGGTGTTCACGAAAAGTTTTTTGTCAAATAAAACATTTTTTTTTTTTTTGTATAGGTTGTAACCATGCTCAACGAGCTCTACACCTGTTGCGATTACATAATCTCGCATTACGACGTTTACAAGGTAATTTTTTTGAGTTCTCTGTATAAATGGGACATGATCAGAAAATATTTTATATTTTCAAAAATATCGTATAGGTAGAAACAATAGGAGATGCATATATGGTCGTATCGGGTCTGCCGATAAGAAACGGCGCTAAACACGCCGGCGAGATAGCGTCGATGGCTTTACATATTTTGCGAAGAATTCGCAAATTCGAATTACCCCACAAGCCAGGGGAGGGTCTCAAGATTCGCATAGGGATACATTCGGGTAAATATTAACGGTACAGAAAAAAAAAAAGAAAAAAAAATATTTTTTTATAAAAATTGAAAAATATTTTTTTCATTCGTCAGGACAATGCGTGGCGGGTGTCGTTGGTTTGAAAATGCCGCGTTACTGTCTCTTCGGGGACACGGTGAACACAGCATCCCGAATGGAGTCATCGGGATTGCCCTTAAAAGTTCACATGTCGGAAGCTACCTGGACGCTTCTTCAAAAATTAGGCGGCTACCAGGCAGAGGAACGTGGACTGGTTCACATAAAGGTCTTGAAATAATTTTAAAAAAAGAAAGTGAAAAAAAAAACTTGAAAAACAAAAATTTTCCATTTTCAGGGAAAGGGCGAAATGAAGACCTACTGGCTAACGGGCGAAGATCCACTTTGCAGACAAAATCGTATTTTCGAATCAAACTCCCACTTTCATCACTCTCATTACGGATCGTTGTGTTCGCTGTCCGAAGATCGACTCACGGAAACGCCCGATCTTTTACGAAGGACCAACCTCGCAGAATTCCTCGGGGATAATAAGGCATCGGCCACCGGAGATTTGCTATTTTCCAGACGCGATTTGCACTTGCGTGCAGTGCGGGCTTGTTGCTATAGAACGAACGAGGTAAGTTAAAAAAAAAAAAAATCTAAAAATGTAACCCGAAAATTAATGAAAAAAAAAAATTATTTTAATTTCAGGAATTAATATACTACAGTACAACAGGTCGATCGCATAGATCGGCACCAGCCATTGCATTGACCGACATGATGACCAATTATTAATTAAATTGATTACCATATGTGATCCAATCATTCATATGATCCGTCGAAAGTATCAGACCAAAAAATGAAAACGAGACTGTAGACAATATTCGTTGATACAAAATTGAAAAAAAAAAATCATCGATACTGTCTAACTTTTTTTTGCTCAGCCGAGCGACACGACTAATTATTCTTTTAATCGGTTCATCGATTGGCTAACTTGTCTACTTACACAGCCATAAGTTATTAATGTAAATTACACAGGGACGTTTTAACATACGTAACTTAGCCAAAGCCAACCGGCACGATATACAATTATATCATCGCCGCGAGAAATCGTCATTATCAATAATCATTGACACGAAAATTGTATATGTATAAACGTCAATAACACGTGGACACAGAAACCACGTGTCTTTGAGTGCTGTATAAATGTGCCAATGGCAAAGATTAATGTCAATATGTATAAATGGTATACGATAAGTAATCCTAAGAGTGAAAAATGAACACAGACAAATATAATTTTAATATATGCCGCCAGAGCAAAGAGAATTAAGTTTAACGTTATAATAAACGCGTAATTAATACAGCACTGCTGTCACAATTATTTACGTATAGTTTCACGTTCTCGTGGATGAAAATTAATTTTTAATAAAAATTACGTATACGTATTATTTCTGCATGTCTCGTTTCCCACATTCTTTGAATATTTCATCAAAGACCGAAAAACGTGTCGAGACGCACCCCTTTAATTTTTGGACGCTATTACGTCACGTTGCTTCAAGTCACCCAAAGGGCACGAGTGACTCCATCCCACTCGTGGTTAAAATCGTCATGTGATACTAATTGATATTAGTATGCGAAAAAGTGTTTTTCGACTGGTAAATAAGTCACTCAAGAAATTGGATTAACACCTCGCGATTGGCACCCCCGAAAAAAATCAAAAAAAAAGACGATAATTCGTATTTCATCACGATAAAGTTGCTCCTGATAAGACGTATAGTCGAAGGACGGGCATATCGAGTTTCCTTAAATTCAAAAAAAAATAAAGTAAAAAATAATCGTTGCATCTTTTTCTTTTTTGCAGATGAAAAATCATTTATCTATATCACGTAGTATGGGAAAATCACCTTGGACTTATGTTGCGTAATGATTTAATATTTCGTGTCTTGTATACGTAAATATATATATATATATATATATATGTTTGCGTATACCTATAGACATACCTGATTATGTATACTAGAGTTGTGACTGCCGAAGAGATAACCTTGAAAAGTTCTGTACGATGATGTTAACAAATTACCGTTTAAAGAGGTATACGTTAGATTTTCAATTTTTTACGTTTCAAAAGAGTGCATGTTTGCGTATACCTATAGACATACCTG